CATTCTGGTTTAACTTTACCAGACTTATGGCATTTTCCAGTTTAGCTATAAAGATCCAGGGCACCTTCTGGTTTAACTATACCAGACTTGTGGTATTTTCCAGTTTAGCTATAAAGACCCAGGGCACATTCTGGTTTAACTATACCAGATCTAGGGCATTTTCCAGTTTAACTATAAAGACCCCAGGGCATCTTCTGGTTTAACTATACCAGATCTAGGACATTTTCCAGTTCAACTATAAAGACCCCAGGGCATCTTCTGGTTTAACTATACCAGATCTAGGACATTTTTCAGTTTAACTATAAAGACCCCAGGGCATCTTCTGGTTTAACTATACCAGACCAAGTGCCTTTTTATATCAGCTTTACCAGAATTAGGGCATCTTCTTGTTTAGCTCTAACAGATCTAGGTCATGTATCTGATACCAAAATCACGTGACAAAAGAATCAATGTGCCAGTTGTCTCGACAGCGCGATGGCCTTAGCGACATAAAGCAGATAGATTATTAGCCTGTCACTCATTAGTCGTTAGATGTTCATTGAGCAGGCGACATCCCTCTCTCCTCCTAGGGCACCTTACAATCATCTTATCTGGCAAAGCCTTTAGTTATCTGCCTTGGCGTGGCCTTGAGCTAGCCGACCCCAGCGATGACCACACACGCGAGAGACGAAATAATCCCCTTTGTTCCTTACACTTAGTTAACGCGGTGAGCAGGACGGCTCTAGGTCAGATTAGAAGATCATGTGATTTCGTGTGTTTGTGATCTAAGTACTCAGAGTCTTTCAAATGTGTCCTTTGTCAGATAAGTTTAGAGGGAGTGTTTCCATTTTTAACATTAGTGTCCTCAAACCTTTGAAATCATGGTTCCGTTCTTATGGTGGAGTTGTCAAACTTTGAACGAATTTGTCGTTGTTTCAAAAAGATAGGATTGACTGGTTCTAGTTTGATTTAGTGTTGTAGCAAATGGTCTTCTTCTAGTTCACAGACAGCACACGTTCATGTTCTAGTTGTGACAAGTGTTAAGTAAATAATTTTCTTTTTTTTTACTTAATAGTACGCCTAAAATTTTTTTCGGAACAATGGTTTTTTTTTTTTAATTTTTTAAAAAATATTTTCTTATTTTTATAGTCGTGTTGTATGTTTTTGTTAGATGCATTATATGTATTTGTTTTAGTTTTGTGTGTTGTATATTTTTTTGTTTATGAATGGTATGGAACTTGTATTTCATTTTGACACAATTTAAAAAATAGTGTTAGAAAATATTTAAAGATGAAAATGGTACTGTGAACTACTACGACGTACCAGCTGATTTCCCATGGCCACTGTTACTTGCTAAGGGAAGTTCTAAGTCAAATTAGTTTTATGGAAGAATGAATTTTTTTGCTACAATTCTCTTTAAAACAAGAATGTTTCTTAAGATCAACGGCTACTTCGGTAGCCACATCTAAACACTGGCAACATCTGAATACATTAGTGCCAACACTGGCAACATCTAAATACATTAGTGCCAACACTGGCAACATCTGAATACATTATTGCCAACACTGGCTACATCTGAATACATTATTGCCAACACTGGCAACATCTCAATACATTATTGCCAACACTGGCAACATCTGAATACATTAGTGCCAACACTGGCAACACCTGAATACATTATTGCCAACACTGTCAACATCTGAATACATTATTGCCAACACTGGCAACATCTGAATACATTATTGCCAACACTGGCAACATCTGATTAAAGTAGGTCCCAACATTGGCAACATCTAAATATACTAGGACCCAACACTGGCAACATCTAAAAAAATTGAAAGTTATTAGCAACGTCAATGCAATGGCAAATAGACCTACGGCTACCAGCAGTCAAAGAGACCTACGGCTACCAGCACTCAAATAGACCTACGGCTACCAGCAGTCAAAGAGACGTACGGCTACCACCACTCAAATAGACCTACGGCTACCAGCAGTCAAAGGGACTTACGGCTACCAGCAGTCAAAGAGAGTACGGCTACCACCACTCAAATAGACCTTCGGCTACCAGCAGTCAAAAAGACGTACGGCTACCACCACTCAAATAGACCTTCGGCTACCAGCAGTCAAAGGGACTTACGGCTACCAGCAGTCAAAGAGAGTACGGCTACCACCAGTCAAATAGACCTTCGGCTAGCAGCAGTCAAAGAGACTTACGGCTACCAGCACTCAAATAGACCTTCGGCTAGCAGCAGTCAAAGAGACTTACGGCTACCAGCAGTCAAAGAGACTTACGGCTACCAGCAGTTAAAGAGACGTACGGCTACCACCACTCAAATAGACCTTCGGCTAGCAGCAGTCAAAGAGACTTACGGCTACCAGAAGTCAAAGAGACTTACGGCTACCAGCAGTCAAAGAGACTTACGGCTACCAGCAGTCAAAGAGACTTACGGCTACCAGCAGTCAAAGAGACTTACGGCTACCTGCAGTTAAAGAGACTTACGGCTACCACCACTCAAAAAGACCTTTGGCTAGCAGCAGTCAAAGAGACTTACGGCTACCAACAGTTAAAGAGACGTACGGCTACAACCACTCAAATAGACCTTCGGCTAGCAGCAGTCAAAGAGACTTACGGCTACCAGCACTCAAATAGACCTTCGGCTAGCAGCAGTCAAAGAGACTTACGGCTACCAGCAGTTAAAGAGACGTACGGCTACCACCACTCAAATAGACCTTCGCCTAGCAGCAGTCAAAGAGACTTACGGCTACCAGAAGTCAAAGAGACTTACGGCTACCAGCAGTCAAAGAGACTTACGGCTACCAGCAGTAAAAGAGACTTACGGCTACCAGCAGTCAAAGAGACTTACGGCTACCAGCAGTCAAAGAGACTTACGGCTACCAGCAGTTAAAGAGACTTACGGCTACCACCACTCAAAAAGACCTTCGGCTAGCAGCAGTCAAAGAGACTTACGGCTACCAACAGTTAAAGAGACTTACGGCTACCAGCAGTCAAAGAGACTTACGGCTATCAGCAGTTAAAGAGACGTACGGCTATCAGCAGTCAAAGAGACGATTTCTGCGGTCCTTATTGCCCCAGACTTTAATGAACATTAGTTGTAGATGCCAGCCATGTTGGAAGTGGTTCAGTTGTGTTTCAAGAAGATGAACACAGAGTAGATTATCCTATCCGTCATTTCTCTAAGAAATGTTATCACCATCAGAAGAATTGCTTCACAGTTGAAAAAGAATTGTCTAGTTTGAATGGTGAGCGGGAAAAGTCACGGCAAAAAGTCACAAAGTTTGCTAGGAAAAAAAATTACAGGAAAATAAGAAGACACACAAAAATCAGCCATCAGATATCATAGACAAAAAAAGATTGGGGAACAAACTAATGTGTATATCTGTTGGTCCGACCACACCCCCTTGGTGATAATAAAGAGTTTTTAGCGTGATGACACGCATGTGAATGTACAACAGCTGGGGTACCACCTTAGTAAAGTCAGACATGTTTGGGGAATAAAATATATTTTATGTCTTTCTGTCTAAAGTCGAACTGACTAGAATATGACTTGGATATAAAAAAATATTAAGGCATAGACAGTGGGGTTTTTTTTGTTTTTTTTGCAGACACTTTGTGGAGAGACTCATTTTTACTGTGCATTGAAATTAGGCAACTGTTTCTATTTAATGATGTAAACCAATTTGTATGTCCTACTTTTTAATATTATTTTTTTAATATTTCTTTCATGGAAAAAGAATTTCATTTTGAAAAATGTAAATTCTTTTTTTTTTTTAAATGGAGATGTTATAGCCTAAGTGTTGACCTAATATTGCGTTAACCACTTGTCTCCTTATTTTTTTCATAATTTGGCTTCACAGATTAAATGTGTTACGCTCTCCCATCCCGACATTCCCTTGATTGAAGGCTGTTTACGTTCTCTTCTATAGAATGCTCTCGGGTGATGCAATTTCTAGAATTGTGTTTCTGGAGGGCTCAAACTCCATTCTTATAAATAAGCCGGTAGTTTTCCCAGCCGGGAGAGATTTTTCGCTAATTCTCCTAAACCTAAACAAGATGTAATATACTTATAGGAGCCTCACAAGATCGTACACTATGTGTAACTTATACTATTTGTATCTTTGGAGGATTTTACCTTTCCACACGCTGTGCTGTAGTTAATAAATTTTATATTTCTCTTTAGTATCTACCTGGCTCATATCAGTGAAAGTATCCAGCAAATGCACTGAGCAGATGTCTGAAGAACAATTTACTTTCATTATTTTTTAAATATATATTGTTGGACACAAGAATGAAAGACTACATTGCAGGATACCAGTACCAATACTTTTGATTAAATGTTAAGGGGGTTAAATGTGCTAATACGTATAGGACTAAAATATGCTCGGTTGTCTCCCATGTCATACAGAAAAGAGACCTTCCCTCCCCCCCCCCTTTTTTTTTATTCTCTACCTCCCCTTCCCCCCTCCCCACCCCCCAATTTTACTTTTTGTGCATACAAAAGACTAAATTGCAAGATACCAGTACCAATACTTTTGATTAAATGTTAAGGGGGTTAAATGTGCTAATACGTATAGGACTAAAATATGCCCGGTTGTCTCCCATGTCATACAGAAAAGAGACCTTCCCTCCCCCCCCCCTTTTTTTTTATTCTCTACCTCCCCTTCCCCCCTCCCCACCCCCCAATTTTACTTTTTGTGCATACGATTTTAATTTTTTCACTTTAAATCATTGGCTAAGAAATAATTTTAAATAGGTTTTGCAATTAGTAAATGAATAAAACAGACAATAACAGGATTGACTGTTTATTTGGCAGTTCATGGCGAATATTTTCGACTTGAAAATTGAAATCACCAAACAATCAAGTAAAAATACAAATAAAACAGCGAAAGATTTATATATGTTTTAAAAGAAATTGATCACAAAGTTATTTATAAATTAAATGTAAATTTGTAAATAAATGCAAAATTATTTTCTTTATCGAAAAAAAAAAATCATATTTTGACCGCGTTCATATTTATCTTAAGACTTTCTCATTTCGAAATGTTCTTCAAATCTAATTTCTTTATGGGAGACAACCTGAAGTCTGCATCTTATTGACTTTTCTCGGCTGACTTCTCTTGTATTGTCTTTCCTTTCATTCTCAGCAACTTCAGTAATTTTACACACGAGTATATTTAATTACTTGCTTACTAATAGAACGACATGCTTCAAAAAACTGATTCCCACTAGTTACAATCTAGATAGAAACTGTTACCCATTACCCTCCTCTTGTATTCCTGCTGCCACCTAAATCCTAAAATATGTTTCCCGTATCCCGTACCCCAGTCCCATATCCCAGTTCCTTATCTGAGCCCCCAATCTCTGTTCCACATCGCAGTCCCAAATCCCAGTCACAAATCGCATTGCCATATCCAAGTTTCATATTCAAGTCATATATCTAAGTCCTCTTTCCTAGCCATACATCTTTGTCCTATATCCTAGATCTTTATCCCAATCCAACATTCCAGTCCTATATCCCAGTCCTATAGCCCAATCCCAGTACTACAACCCCAGTTATACATCTCAGTCCCCTTTCCTAGCCATATAGCCCACTCCTATATCCTAGACCCTTTATCCCAGTCCCACATCCCAGTCCTATAACCTAAAGATAGACTTCATGCCACGCCCCCACTTCCGTGACACCTGCCTAGAGTTTGTTATAGAGCAACATAGTAATGGTCCAACCAGATTCTTCAAATGATTTCTTTATCGGTTTCAGTTGTAAGATGGGTGTCCTCATAGACTCCACCCAAAGACTGTCTGGCTGTGAACGATTGGTCACGTGGGAAGAACTGGATAGGGATGTGGGAGGGGCTTGGCTGTTGACCATAATCAGCACTGGCGAGAGAGGGATGAGAAATGGAGTGACATCATTAGTATAACAGAGAGAGGAGACATCATTACAATGAAAGTGAAATATGGAGTGAAATATGGAGCGACAACATGATGTATATTATATATATTTAGAATCCATCCGTCACAAACTGACGATGGTGTGGATTTTGCAGGACGAAATCCCAAGGCCTGGGACTTCTCTTTGGCAGGATAAGCTGTTTCACTGGACAGCAAATCACCTCGCTCCACGCATCTGGATAACCCAACTAAATTTTAATTTAGTTTATCGCATACCCCCTACGGAACTCCATCTCCAGGTTTGAATTCAGGGTTTTGCCTCTATTAGATGCTTTGCAATCCAAGGTTAACGAATACCATCCACCCGGGATGCTGATGACGTTTTTGTTTCTATTGATTTTTGCTGGGGATAGAACTTCACTCAACATGCTTGGAACTGAAGCGATTTTGACCGCACACTCACCCATCTTATAAAGGGTCATCTTTATAATGTGGTGACTAAGTGGTAGCTGTGACGTGAGTATGTGATGGTTGTGACGTGATTATGTGATAGTTGTGACGTTATTATGTGATAGTAATGACGTGATTATGTGATGGTTGTGGCGTAATTATGTAATAGTTGTGAAGTGATTATGTGATAGTTGTGACGTGATAATGTGATAGTTGTGACGTGATAATTTGGTAGTTGTCACGTGATAATTTGGTGGTTGTGACATGATAATTTGATAGTCGTGACGTGATAATTTGGTAGTTGTGACGTGATAATTTGGTGGTTGTGACATGATAATTTGATAGTTGTGACGTGATTATGTGATAATTGTGACGTGATTATGTGATCGTTGAAACGTGATTATGTGATCGTTGAAACATGATTATGTGATAGATATGATGTGATTATGTGATAGTTGCGGCGTGATTATGTGATAGTTGTGATGTGATTATATGACAGTTGTAACGTGATAATTTGATAGTTGTAACGTGATAATTAGATAGTTGTGACGTGATTATAATAATAATAATTAGTTGTCTTATATAGCGCGGTACCCCAGCCTAGGACTGGGCTCACCGCGCTGTACATAAAAATATTTAGCAAAAGAGACCTAATCATGATATCAAAATAAAATTGTTTGGGGGCGCAGAAAGAGAAAGATCGTTCACCATATAATTTAGTGCGTGTCTTGGGAACGGACAGAATGCGCGTGTCTGCGGAGGAGCGAAGCTGTCGAATGGGTGAATAGACAGAAAGAAGTTCGGTTAGAGAGGAAGAGCAGGAATCCGAGAAAAAGTTGTGTCAGAGAACAGGCAACTTGTAGTCCATGCGTGCCTGTATAGGGAGCCAATGAAGGGAGTGGAGTAGTGGAGTGACGTGACGTGATAGTTGTGGCGTAATTATGTAATAGTTGTGAAGTGATTATGAGATAGTGGTGGCGTGATTATGTGATAGTTGTGGCGTGATTATGAGATAGCTGTGGCGTGATTATGTGATAGTTGTGATGTGATTATGTGATAGTTGTGGTGTGATTATGTGATAGTTGTGACGTGATTATGTGATTGTTGTGACGTGTGCTCCTATGTTATTAGCATCCATCAAACCTGAAATTAGCTCATAGATATTTCTTTTCTTACGTTCGTAGACAGTAAAAGGGGTCATGTCTTGGTGTGTGGGGAGGGGGTGGTTATAGTTACTTTGTTGTCTTGTACATCGGGTTTTGGATTGGTCTCCCATAGCAGGCCGCAGCAGGGATGACAACATGGCGGTAACTAGGCGGCGCCACAGGTGTGTCAGTGAAGACGATATTGCCTTTATTTGACGCTATACCTCGGTACCTGAGATGGGAGGAATGATTTGGTTATGTGACGCTATGCAATGGTACCTAAGAGGGGAGAAATGTTTTACTCTTTACTTTTTGGAACGTTTTGTCTAATATTAATTACATTTGTTTCAAGGACACGTGTTTTATCTTTAAATAAATAGAAATATAGATAGGATTTTTTTTTTTTAACGTATCTGTAGAACCTGCCAGGACTTAAAGAAAAGTTTGATGAGCTTCTAATAGTATTATTTTTGTTATCATTTCATTTAAACAAGAATTATTAATGCAAACTGACGAGATGATAAATTAGAATTTTGTAAATATTTTTTTCTGACTGTCTTTCTTAAGATAAATCGATGACCAATCAAATAGATGTCATTATTATAAGATTTAAAAATGAGAATCAGTGAATGGATGCTGGAATAATAAGGTAATTTATTTGACCTACTTAAAAGCATCTTCGTTAGATTCCTTATCATTGGCTCTCTGGGACACAGCTCGACCTTGTCCACACATGGTCGAGTTTTGAACACCGAAACGCGAACCATCACTTCCAGTGTAAACACACCGCCCAGAGGTCACGGGGTCAGCTGATGTTGAGTTACTTTCCATGTCTCGCCTCGTGGTGAATGCTTCCCCTGGACCTATTCAAATAATTAACAAAAGGCATTAATGTGTACGCCGTGCGTCTCATTAGTGTGTACGCCGTGAGTCTCATTAATGTGTACGCCGTGAGTCTCATTAATGTGTACGCCGTGAGTCTCATTAATATGTACGCCGTGAGTCTCATTAATATGTACGCCGTGAGTCTCATTAATGTGTACGTCGTAAGAGTCATTAATGTGTACGCCGTGAGTCTCATTAATATGTACGCCGTGAGTCTCATTAATATGTACGCCGTGAGTCTCATTAATGTGTGCGCCGTGAGTCTCATTAATGTGTACGCCGTGAGTCTCATTTATGTGTACGTCGTAAGAGTCATTAATGTGTACGCCGCGAGTCTCATTAATGTGTACGCCGTGAGTCTCATTAATGTGTACGTCCTAAGACTCATTAATGTGTGCGCCGTGAGTCTCATTAATGTGTACGCCATGATTCTCATTAATGTGTACGCCGTGAGTCTCCTTAATGTGTACGCCGTGAGTCTCATTAATGTGTACGTAGTAAGACTCATTAATGTGTACGCCGTGAGTCTCATTTATGTGTACGCCGTAAGAATCATTAATGTGTACGCCGTAAGACTCATTAATGTGTAAGTCTTGAAACTCATAAATGTGTACGCCATAAGACTCATAAATGTGTACGCCGTAAGACTCGTGCATGTTTACAAGTGAAAGGCGTCGATGTATTCAAGAGACACTAAGACATTATGGTTTCATAAATTAAATCATATATATTTATAGACTATGATTAATATGGGCCATGAATATCAATACCCAATATGGGAAATAAAAATTGACCATGACTGGTATATGTAAGTATAGATCGACTATGACTATCGGAAATAAATGAGGATATGCTTTGGGTAATACATTATTTTCTTTAATCTTTAACGTAAGTTTTACTTGATTAAAAAAATTATTTCGTGTTGCTGTTTCTAGCCAAACAGGAAGTACTTTGTTCCGTTGTTTCTGTCGGAAGAGGAAGTACTTAACTATTGAAAGTGTATAAAACAAGCATTTAAAAGTATATTGAAGGAACAATCCATGATGTTTATATTGAATTTTGATTTTTACATATACTTAGCTATTAACAATCGTGCGTATAAGCGGAAGAAAATAAATTATGTTACATTCATTTGTATACAAGTATAAGCTATGTCTATAGTGTATTAAGACAGTTGCCAAACATATTATTGAAGTCTGATATGAGTCCAAAACACAATAATTCAACCAATATTTTTTTATTTAAGAATGAGGTGCTGTTAAAGTCGCCTAAATTTACCATCAGAGTTGTCCTGATATTGTAATCAGAATTTTTCTGATATTGCAATAAGAGTTGTCCTGATATTGCAATCAGAGTTTTTCTGATATTGCAATCAGAGCTTTCCAGACAATACCACCAGAGTAGTGTCGATTGACAACTTATTCCGATTACTGTCATCATGGCTGTATATTTACAACATACTCCGGTTACTGCTACCAGGGCTGTATATTGACAACATACTCCATTTACTGACATCAGGGCCGTATACTTGACAACTTACTCTGGTTACTGTCATCAGGGCCGTATACTTGACAACTTACTCTGGTTACTGTCATCAGGGCCGTATACTTGACAACCCACTCCAGTTAACTGCCATCGGGGCCGTATACTTGACAACCCACTCCAGTTAACTGCCATTAGGGCCGTATACTTGACAACCCATTCCAGTTAACTGCCATCAGGGCCGTATACTTGACAACCCACTCCAGTTAACTGCCATCAGGGCCGTATACTTGACAACCCACTCCAGTTAACTGCCATCAGGGCCGTATACTTGACAACCCACTCCAGTTAACTGCCATCAGGGCCGTATACTTGACAACCCATAAGGTTTAGTTTTTGGAATCACACCGGGATCATTATATCTATAACATTGTTCTAGAGGACGACAAAGCTCAACTTTGGTAACTACATTAGTACTGTTCGAGCTTTGTAACTCTCCAGATAGAAGGATTCCCACTGAAACAGCTGTAGCAAAATTATGAAAGGGAGGAGTAGAAAATATGACATCATTCTCATTCAAATAATAAAACGTTTAATTACAGTACAAACTGTTGATGCCATTCTTGTTGAGATCATAGAGTAGAAAATTACAGTACAAACTGTTGATGCCATTCTTGTTGAGATCATAGAGGAGTCATTTACAGTACAAACTGTTGATGTCATTCTTGTTGAGATCATAGAGGAGTCATTTACAGTACAAACTGTTGATGTCATTCTTGTTGAGATCATAGAGGAGTCATTTACAGTACAAACTGTTGATGTCATTCTTGTTGAGATCATAGAGGAGTCATTTACAGTACAAACTGTTGATGTCATTCTTGTTGAGATCATAGAGGAGTCATTTACAGTACAAACTGTTGATGTCATTCTTGTTGAGATCATAGAGTAGAAAATTACAGTACAAACTGTTGATGTCATTCTTGTTGAGATCATAGAGTAGAAAATTACAGTACAAAACGTGGGCATCCATTAACAGCGCGCCAAGATTCAAACAATAACTGATTGTCTTAAAAAATAATATCAGTACACAGTATTAGGTATTACATAGATGTTTCGTTGTCTATGGAGCCTAAGTCTACCAATCTCAGGTTGAGTGACAAGCTGATAATCTTATGTAGCAATAATTCTACCGATTCCAGGTGGGTGTCATGATGGCAATCATATGTAGCGATCGATGCCCCTAATGGTGCGTCCTCAATCTAATCTCATCTACCAGGGTCAGTGTAGATTTAAGAAATATAGGGTCAGCCTGGATTTGACACTTTATAGTTACTTATTCAATCCCTGTGTTGAACACTTTGCCTGTAATTTATTCAATCCCTTGGATTTGACATTGACACTTTGCATGTAACGTTTTCAACCCCTGGATTTGACACTTTGCATGTAACTTATTCAACCCCTGGATTTGACACTTTGCATGTGACGTATTCAACCCCTGGATTTGACACTTTGCATGTAACATATTCAACCCCTGGATTTGACACTTTGCTTGTAACGCATTCAACCCCTTGATTTGACACTTTGCATGTGACGTATTCAACCCCTGGATTTGACACTTTGCATGTAACATATTCAACCCCTGGATTTGACACTTTGCTTGTAACGCATTCAACCCCTGGATTTGACACTTTGCATGTGACGTATTCAACCCCTGGATTTGACACTTTGCATGTAACATATTCAACCCCTGGATTTGACACTTTGCTTGTAACGCATTCAACCCCTGGATTTGACACTTTGCATGTGACGTATTCAACCCCTGGATTTGACACTTTGCATGTAACATATTCAACCCCTGGATTTGACACTTTGCTTGTAACGCATTCAACCCCTGGATTTGACACTTTGCATGTGACGTATTCAACCCCTGGATTTGACACTTTGCATGTAACGTAGACAATCCCTGGATTTCACATTTGCATGTAACGTATTCAATCCCTGGATTTGCCACTTTGCATGTAATGTATTCAACCCCTGGATTTGACACTCTGCATGTTACTTTTTCATTCCCTTGGTTTGACACTCTGACTGACTTATTTATTTAATCCCTGGATCTGACACTTGCATGTAACGTATTCAATCCCTGGATTTCACATTTGCATGTAACTTATTCAATCCCTGGATTTCACATTTGCATGTAACTTATTCAATCCCTGGATTTCACATTTGCATGTAACTTATTCAATCCCTGGATATGACACTTTGCATGTAAAGTATTCAACCCCTGGATTTGACACTTTGCATGTAACTTATTCAATCCCTGGATATGACACTTTGCATGTAATGTATTCAATCCCTGGATTTGGAACTTTGCATGTAATGCATTCAATGCCTGGATTGGACACTTTGCATGTAATATATTCAATCCCTGGATTGGACACTTTGCATGTAATGTATTCAATCCCTGGATTGGACACTTTGCATGTAATGCATTCAATGCCTGGATTGGACACTTTGCATGTAATATATTCAATCCCTGGATTGGACACTTTGCATGTAATGTATTCAATCCCTGGATTTGGAACTTTGCATGTAATGTATTCAATCCCTGGATTGGACACTTTGCATGTAATGTATTCAATCCCTGGATTTGACACTTTGCATGTAATGTATTCAATCCCTGGATTGGACACTTTGCATGTAATGCATTCAATGCCTGGATTGGACACTTTGCATGTAATATATTCAATCCCTGGATTGGACACTTTGCATGTAACTTATTTAATCCCTGGATATGACACTTTGCATGTAATGTATTCAATCCCTGGATTGGAAACTTTGCATGTAATGTATTCAATCCCTGGATTTGGAACTTTGCATGTAATGTATTCAATCCCTGGATTGGACACTTTGCATGTAATGTATTCAATCCCTGGATTGGACACTTTGCATGTAATGTATTCAATCCCTGGATTTGGAACTTTGCATGTAATGTATTCAATGCCTGGATTGGACACTTTGCATGTAATGTATTCAATGCGGGATTGGACACACTGCCTATAACAAATCGAGAGCGACTGCACAGCCCCACCACAGTGCAGCCCTCCAACTTCTTCAATTTCATATTATCATCCGTACTTAATTGGCCTGGAGAGGAAAAACTAACAAAATATGATTGATCTCCCCTTGCCCATTACGGTGTTTATGTACATGATGGCGGGCACATGGGTAACTTCCCCTGCGAGGCTCCCCCGTCCTGTGTTTACACAGGCGCGCAGCCACTAAGCTGAATGTTTCTAAGAAAAATCAACAATTTATTCTCTCGTCCGGGCCTCGTGAAGAAAGAAATCTTGAGGACTACCTCCTGGCTTCTGCCAACCCCTTCGCTACACCGTTAGGCTCGTCATTTGCCGTTACAGTCTAAGAATGGCAACACTTATTTATATCAACTTAGCACTGGTGCTCTGGTGTTATGAGTGTGCAGGTGATTTAAAAGTCAGTCATACTATAGTCATTATTATAGTCATATTATAGCAATATTATAGTCATTTATAGTCATATTATAGTCATATTATAGCCATATTATAGCCATATTAGGGTCATATTATAGCCATTTATAGTCATATTATAGCCATATTATAGTCATATTATAGCCATAGTATAGCCATATTATAGTCACATTATAGCCATATTATAGCCATATTATAGCCATATTAGGGTCATATTATACCCAATTATAGTCATATTATAGTCATATTATAAAGCCATATTATAGCCATGTTATAGCCATATTATAGCCATATTATAGCAATATTATAGCCATATTAGAGCCATATTAGATCCATATTATAGCCATATTAGAGCCATATTAAAGCAATATTATAGCCATATTATAGCCATATTCTAGTCATATAAGAGCCATATTATCAACTTAGGAAGGATCCAGTGATGTCATAGAGACTGTCAAATTATGTCTTGCATCAACAAAGGCGGAACCTGTTTGCAATTTTTTTTATTTTTTTTTATGACCTGCATGTTCTAACTGGCAAGTAATTTAAGTAATGTTATGTATGTTGTTCTTGACAAATGACTCGTGGACCGGATTAAGATCCTAAACCAACGGTTCTCAATCATGTACTGGCCTATAACCCTAACCCACCGGTTCTCAATCATGTACTGACCTGAAAGACCTACTGAGGAAACACTCTTGGGCTGCCCTCTTATGGGAAAGGTAATGTTAGCTCAACAGGGGCGAACACAAGAACCATCTTATCCAATCAATTCTTGTCTGCAGCTGCATTCATCCTTCTGGTAGTGCTACGCCCTGGATTATGTCTCCATGTATTGACCCCTAGATGTAGATTTGCCACAATATCAACATCGGGTCATCTGCAGCTTTTCCATCCAATCAGTCCTCCGGACTGTCTAACGTCATTTTGCATTCTTTCAAATT